ACTGTTAAATTCTCCAGGAACCAGGCTCACCGGTTCACCACACCATCCTTAGCTCATTCCCTCTATTCCCACATTCAAGATCCCCGGTCACGCTTTCCTGGTAACACCGCATTTCTTAGAACACTCGATATTTCTGTCTCTAACCCCCAGTCACCTTCCCACTGTTCCATCCGGATGCCCTCTTTGAAATGCCCAGCTAGATGATTGGTCCTCAACGCCCAGTTACTGAGTTCCAGACCACAGAATCCACAACGGCTTCGTATATCACCTCTTGTCAAGCGCCAGGCATCAAGATCCAGAACTGGGGCCTTCGTACAGCTATGGAACTTGCGCAAGTGTTGCCATAAATGGTCTTTTCGAGTGAACGACCGCTGGTCTATTGGCTTTTCTGCACAGACACGGAAGTCATGTTCCTCCCAGTGGGCTTGGGAAGGCCATGATAAAGGGCAGACCTTACACGTGATCGGATTTGGTTCGGTCGATTCTAAGTCTGCGAGGCTCGGTGTGCAGACCCATGATTCTAAGGAAAGGTGGACACTTGTCTCGTGACGGGTCCAATCGTTCTTCTTTTTGAAGCATTGGGGACAGAATGTGCATTGGTATCGGTATTCCTCGGCAGCGTGTGAGGATCGGTGTTTGTGTCGTCTAGGTGGCTTGAAGGGGAATGGTAAGGCGCCTTCGTTGGGGGATTGGTGGCTCCATGCTGTGGATGTGCTGTCGGATGATGCTTCTGATTGTTTGCTCCCGAATCCTGAGACCGAGGAGTCGAAGAGGGAAGAGGATGCCGAGTCGAAGTTCAGCGATGGCGATCCGGTTGGGAGACGACTAGTTTCAGAGGGCAAACCACTCCAGCTTGACTCTGCCGTAGAAGATGCGATGGCGTCCCTAATCGCTGATTCAGGCACTGGGTCGTCTTCTGGAGGAGATGCCTGCCATCGCTCCAAGGGTGTCATCGCGGTCCACTGACTAGTGGGCATTGGGGAACCAGCTCGGTTGATCTGAGGACGGCCGGAGAAATCCATCTTCTGCTTCTGGCGTCGACGGGCATTGGCAAACCACGTCGAGATTCGTTTCTTGGAGAAGCCTGTCTCACGGGCAAGATGGGATTTTTGTTCCTCGGATGGATAGGGACACTCCTGGTTCTGAAGGAACCATGCCCGCAAGACTCTGGCTCCCTTTCTGACAAACTGCTTAGAGTCTTTCGGCTCAGTCCTTCCTCTCGAGTGATCTAGCATAGAAACATCGAACTCGTTCTCTTGCTCCGGGATGGTCATCTGGTCCGCAAAAGCGACATCTTCGCTCAGCTCCCGGAGCCCATGAAGATGACCGATTGCCGGAGCGAGAGTCTCAAACCCGGAAGGTTGACGTTTCTCTCCTATTGCCAAACTGCATTCGCGGAATAAAGCCACGCAGCTCGAGCAAGATGTGATTGGGTTCGGATTCGCTGGAGTAGTCCGGATAATCAGGCACTGCAACCGGTGTCTACGACAATAGCTACAGGGATGTGGTGGGCAATAAGCACCATCCAGGAATTGGGTTACATCGGTAAGTCCTCGACGCATAGGTACGGGGTTATATATATCTGGCGGCTGATCAATAGATGCAGGAGTACCGGTCTTGTTTATTTGGGTTTCCGGCGGTGGAACGACAGGGTCGTCTTGGATAGGAAAAAGTGATGGCATCTCGGTTTGTCCAGATGGGTCAGAAGCTATCCAATGTGACCACTGTTCATAGTTCTGGTCTGACGAAGCACCAAGCAGCTCAGCGTTGAGTGCATCCCAGTCGAAGGCAGCATTTTCCTCTAGTGGCCAATTAAGGAAGTTGATATCTGGCACATCGATGTCGTCGGCTGACCCATCTTCTGGTTTAGAGACTTGTGAGAAGTTTTGTGGTAAATCAAATCCGGATGCATCTTCCATGATAATGTATATATATGTCCACAGGGTCCCTGAAGGGAAGAAGTGGTTGAGTTCATCAGAAAGAACGTTCTTTACAAAGTTGGATGCTGCTGACTCACCACCAGACTCTGCTTAAAGCGGTTTAGCCTGACCTTTTACCGCAACCTTGTCTCTAGAGCCAATGGGAGTTACTTCATTCTCTAATAGTACTGCTGACTACTACTAGTATATCAGAAGATCTTACAAGATGAATAGTGCTCTCTATATACTGGGTAGCTTATCGTTTGGTCATTTCAGAACTATGTACAATATAACAGACTTTACTAGCATGCAGAATATCTCAGCAATCACTGACAAAAGTCTTCAATCAGCCTCCTGAAGACATTCTCCTGCTGCTGCAGACTCTCGACCTCGACCCATTCCTCCTTGCTGTGCAGTCCCTCACCTCTAGGGCCGTACACTATTGACGGAATTCCTGCCTCGCTGAGCAGCGCCGCATCGCACCAGAAAGGTGCACTGCTTACCTGAGGAGTATTCCCCAGCACGGCAGTCGCACAAGCGAGCGCTCTCTCAACAAAGGGATGATCAGTCGCCAACTTCTGCGTCGGGCGGAACATGGTAGCGCGAGGCTCCGAATACAGGAACTTGGGGTTCTCCCAGAAAATATCCTCCAAAAGATTCTTAAGGTCACTCAAGATCGACTCCTGCGTCTGACAGGGTATAGTACGGAATTCAACTGTGATGGTGCATTTCGCGGGATATGACGAAGGCTCTTCGCCGCCTTGAATCAACCCACAATGCAAGGATGCCGGCCCCAACACATCATCGACAGGTAGCTGCTGTTGATATTGTTCAAGAGCACGAAGGAACCAACCGGCATAAAGAATAGCGTCTTGTCCTGCGGCGGGGTTGGATCCGTGAGCAGCAACGCCGAGGATATCGATCTCAACCCACAGAAATCCCTTGTGGGCTGTGACTATCTGGCCCATAGTAGGCTCAGGAACGACAGCTGCATCGGCACGCCAACCTGCTGCCAACAGGTCGCGCGTGCCTTGAGAAGCATCCTCTTCATCCGAAACAGCAGCCACGACCACGTCCCCGCAAAGATTGTTGCCGTTGGCTTTGGCGGCTGATACAGCTGCCAGTGCTGCTGCCAGGCCTCCCTTCATATCGAGACTGCCTCTTCCGAACACGACTTGCCGACCATCTTTCTCACCCAATGTTCCCGATAGGGGGTCTTTCTCGTAGCTTGAGAGGCTTACGGTGTCGATATGGCCGTTGAACATCAATGACTTGCCCCCCCCGGAACCGCGCAAAACTCCCACGATCGATGGTCTCCCAGAGACGGTCTCGATCCAGTGATGTTCGATGCCCCGGTGAGCAAACCATGCGGCCAAGTAGTTTGCGATCTGGTTCTCTCCAGCACCGTCTGTCAACGATAGTGAAGGATTTGAAGAATTGATCGTCGTGAGGATCTGCGTCAGCCCGACCGAGTCTTCCACGGACACTTCCTTGGGGATGGGATACGGCCGTGGACCTTCAGTACTGAGTAGAACGACCACGGTGTCTTTGTTCAGGAGAGTTTGCGCCTCCTTTGCCGCAGCAAGCCGCTTCAGGGTAGCCAACGATGCAGCACCGCAAGGTCCAGCCTTTATCGACTGGGTAGCCAGGTATTCAACTGCAGCGTGACATTCATAACTAGAAATTGTAACACATGCATCAACAAGTCTTTGCAAATCAGACCAAGCAGTGGTCGACACGGTACCGCAGTTCATCCCATCCATAATCGTCGACGACGTTTGAACAGCAACCGGTTTCCCAGATCCAAGGCTAGAATGCAGACAAGGCGCCGAGTCCGGCTCCGCAGCCACAACCGATATGGACGCATCTCTAGATTTGCAGTGCCTCGCCACCGCGTGCGCCAGACTGCCAACTCCCACAGGCGTAACAACGAGGTTACACCGTAGGCCTTCCTTGGCGATCTGTTCATCGACCTCCATCATCATTGTAGAGTATCCCTCTACAATCCACGAGGGAATGTCTTCGTATCCATCAAAAGCAGTATCTTGCACCAAAATGCCCCCGTCAATACGCTGAGCGGCATCTGCTGCCTCCCGCACTGCCTGATCATAATCACCCTGGACAACAATCACACGCGCGCCCTCGCTCCCAATGAGCTGCTGTGTAGACTCATCCATACTCCGCGGAACAAAGATATCCGCCTTGCTGTCGAGCAGTCTCGCAATGAAGGCAACAGCTCGTCCATGATTACCCTCCGTAGCTGCAACCAGCGTAATCGAAGCGTCCTTCACTCTAGCCGACAACTCATCCAAGCTAATCGTGGGCGGAAGGCCCAGATGAGCAGTAACAGCCCGATAGCAACCCCACGAGGCACCCAGGACTTTGAAAGCCGGGAGGCCAAACCGATCGCTTTCATCTTTGACAAAAACGGCACGAACACCTAATTCTTTTGCGAGCCCGGGTACGGGAGTCAACGGTGTCGGGGCGTAGTTGGGCAGTGACTGATGGAATTCTTTGAGACCATGGATATCCCGAGGGTCGCAGCGTGCATTTGCCGCGGCGGGGTTGAAGTATATGGGCCGGCGAGCGGACATGTTGGCAATGATCGAGATTCTAATTTTAAAAGCAGGGATATAAGATTATCAGATAGGGAGTATTATTGGAAGTGATTTTCGCACTTATGTAGGGTTCTGTTGAGCCCTCGCCGATACCCAATTACCGAGAATGAGTTCCTGCAGCCTTCCGATGACATTCAAGCGCCTTCCATGAACATCTCCACTTGGGTGATAACATCCACTTTCCATAACCTTACTCTCCATCAAACAAAAAAATTTTTTATTCAACTTCATGGACTGGTTGGATTTTGTGTCTTATGGTGCGGAGCAGTGTGGGGTATACATCAACAAGTGAGACTATGAGAATGTTATATTCATAGAGGTAGGTGAGGTCACTCCATGCGCTGGATGGTATAGTACGAAAAGAAACTTGACTCTATCAATATTCTGAAATCTAATGTAAAATTATATCAAGCAAGAAATAAGCATCGCTCGTACATCATTACGCCTAGTTCTATTTTCCGAGCTATGCAATGGCCTCTTTCTTCATCCGAGCTTGATCGTAGTTAACCACCGCCTCAAGTAAAGCTTGAGTTCCCAAAGCACTGTAAATCACAAAGTTAGCACTTTAACCACGGTCAAAGTGTTTTGGACGAACTCACCAATCTTCAGGACGGCAATACTCCTCCGGATGGTGACTGACCCCGTCCCGGCACGGGACGAAGATCATAGTCGAGGGACAGTGTCTACTAGTATTCACAGTATCATGTCCAGCACCGCTGGTAATGTCCATGTATTGTCCAGCGCCAACAAGCTCGTCAGCGGCAGTGCGAACTGCATCAATGCAGTCCTTGTCAAACTTGACAGCAGCAGAATCCGTATCCATCGTCCAGTCGAACGAAACACCCTTCCCATCTTGCTTTGCGATGTTAGCGAAGGATTCGAGACATTCCTTCTGCACAGCGTGCACCACTTCATCCTCGAGATGCCGGATGTCCAGGGTGAACGTTACTTGCGAAGCAACAGTGTTCGTAGATGCATTGGAAGGTATCTTGAGCACACCAGTAGATGCCAGCGCCCCATGTTGCTTTGCAATCTCATTCGATGAGGCAATCATCTTAGATGCGGCGAGTAGGGGGTCCTGACGAGCGCTGAATGGGGTTGTGCCCGTGTGCGCATCTCGTCCGTACACGGTGAAGGTTAGCCATCTGTACCCTTGGCCACCTTGGACTACACCTAGCGACCGGCCGGTTTCCACGAGGATAGGACCTTGTTCGATGTGCAGCTCGAAGTGTGCACCAAGGGGGAAGCCCTCAGGCGAACAGGGAATGTCTCCCAGGTATCCGTGTCGTTCTAATTCAGAACGGAGTGTCACGTTGGGATCATGGATATCCCGAAGACTCCAGGCCTGTTCAATGGGGATCACGCCAGCCCATACGCCAGAGGAGCACATAGATTTAGGGAACCGAGCTCCTTCCTCGCTGTCATCTTGTCAGTGCCCGCCTCAGAAATGGACGCTATGGGAAAGGAGATATCCGATGCAAAAAGAACAAGGGTGCATACTTAGTCCAATTAACCAACCCGACGTCGTAATTCGTCTGATACCCATTCTCCTTCATAGTCCGCAGTACCTCCAATGCCGCCATTACGCCGAGAATTCCATCATACCGACCGCCACGCGGTTGTGTATCTAAATGACTGCCCATGGCGATCATAGGCGCCGACGAGTTCAGGCGACCTTTCTGTCTTGCGAACATATTGCCCATCTGGTCCACATGGAGCGTGCAGCCCAACTTTCTGACCTCATTATCAAGCCAGCGGCGCACACTCGCGTCGGCATCAGTCAGGGTTAGACGAGCCATGCCGGTATCTGTGGAATTCCTGTAGTATATGTTAGATGAGGAGCTATATAGGCCATCCAGGGCTCTAAGCTATTAAGGTGTGACGTACTTGCCGTATCTATGAGCGGCGCCCCATTCGCACGTTTCGTGCAACGTTTCCCATAGTCGGTTGTGGTTGATCTTAAGGCCGGATAATTGGCGACGGGAGGTTGTCGAGAATAGTTTCGCGGAATTTGCGAATAGGGCGCAGCCGGTGCGCTTAGTGAAGTGCATAGTGTTGGTGGCTTCAGTCTATGCTAATATAATGATACACAATGACATGGCCTACAAGGGCTGGAGGTGTGGGCGAATCCTCAATATATAAATACTAGTATCTATCCGTACAACACAAAATATAATAGTGCCGTACGCCTTCTGTCGACAAGGCTCAGTGGAGATAAAAGATACTCCACTTTAATCCTATGTTACTAGCTTTACTGACATAGAAAGGTAACCCCCTAAAAAAGGGAGAGGGAGAACGAAACCTATGTGGGCGCAATGATTTGCATTATGGGTGCTGAGCGCCTTCCAACAACATCCGGTGGCGGATTCCACTGTTGCCGGACAACGACGAACGGTATCTCTGGTAATGCTAATCCACACTGCAAACCAATTTTTTTCTCTTCGTTTCTACTCCATATTTTGGTCTAGGAAACCCCGACTCTCACGTCAAGTATCAATGAACCAATTTATAATTACATTAGACACTAAGTATATACTTCCTACCTAAGCGGGAACCAATCTCCTTGCTATGGAGCGTATGTAGGATGCGTAACCACCATAGGTAACGAAGACAACAAAAGCCGTTTTAGTCTCCAGAGACTATAACCAGTCATTACAGGGTTTTTTTCCTCTCTGCTTGAGTCTCATAACACCGGTCATCAACGCCCTCTACCTCCTTAACAAGTTTCTCCATCTCCTCGACCTGTTTCTTGATTTCTTTCTGAGTCATCCGCACTTCGCGATCAAAAAGCTCTCGGTTTGGCTTCCTATAGCTTCCTCCGATACGGTCCCAGATGGTCAGAAATTGGCCGTAGTTGTAATTGAAATAGTAGTGGTGAATAGTATGACAGGCGGAGCCATTTATAACAGGTGAGTCGAGAGCATACTCTCCATCATCTACAACGAGTCAACAAAACTTATGTCACTAGTTGAGACTGGCATGGGAAACAAACTTACGTATCATAACAGTCCAGATCGTCACAAAGACAAACAGACCCAGGTAGGCGACTTTCTGGAGAGGGAATAGGATAGGAAAGACATGGTATGACAGGCTCTGTGCCCACCCATCCACGGGATGAAAGGCGTAGCTGGCAAATGGAGTCGAGATGATCCACTTGTGATGGGGCTTGTGTAGATGCTTGTAGACCTTGGGGTGATGCTCTCCGCGATGAATCCAATAGATTCCGAAGTCGGTGAACGCAATGAAGATAGGATATTGGAGGTATGTATAAAGCGGAAATGGCGCTTGGCTAGAGAAATCGTACAGCTTTGTGTATCCCCGGACTTCAGCCAGGAAGAATGGAACGGTGAGGGCTGCCATCACGGGCATTGCGTTCACGGCTTGCGCGATCTCCATGGAAATCTGGTTACGTAGGAACTTCGGATGTTTCATGGCGCGCTTGTCGTAGACGAAGTGAAACGAAAGGGTTGCGCTGAGAAAGTAGAGAACGATGCCAAATGCCCTGCCAGAAGAACATCCATATCATCAGTCCCGACCCCTTCTGATAGAACAGCAGGTAGAGGCCCAACCATGTAATAAAAAACAAACTCAAACTTTGCCGAAGGAGGTGGTCTCTTGGTAAGATACTTTGTGTAGCCCATTTGGAAGGCGATAGGACGAAATAACGATTGACACTTTCGTTCAATGTGGCCAGTTCTGTGCCATTAGAGGGAAATAATTGTGCTATTTTGGTTGCACTATGTCGTGGGAGAACCGCTGCATACAGTCGGTCGAATACTAGGGTGTCTAGCACATCCAGAAGAACATCCATGGTGTACCACTTGATTCACGCTTATCGGATGTAGTCAAAGGACGAGAAGCGAATAGGACAAGGAAACCATTGTTATTTAGTACCAATTCTTCACATATACATGTTTATTACCGCGTGAGCCGGAATACGGGAGTTCCGGGGTAAGGGATCAACTAGAGTAAGATTTGCAATGATGGACATCCCCAAGTAGGACTAGTTACAAGGATGGTACAGACTTAGCATCAGGAACAGTACCTTGCAGATTGCTAGAAGGCTGTCACGAACAGTGTAGGCTGTGTTGTACCTTACGATGCGGCGGCATACTAGCAAGTGTCATGTCATGACCCACTAGAAGATCTCCTGACGCATTCCGGGAATCCTTGGTGGTGTGGTACACAGTATGGATACTCAGTAGTACTTACCTCTCGTAACTAAGGGGGAAGAATATTCATAGGCAAGGAGAAAAGGCATTAGTTAACATGTGACTTTTACTAAACCTTGCCAAAGTAGTAGAAGTAGTTAGGTACATACATTGGTTCAGGGCCCAGGCTGACCTTAGTATAAGTACCAGTATACTAACCTATATAACAGGCTCTCCGGTTGGTTCATATACATTGCATGCTGATTGCAACTGCTTTCCATGAGAACGCAATTCAACGTCACCTCGTACTGTTTTCAGTTGAGCTCTCTTATCTTCTTTTGATCTTCAAATGACCCTTACGTATAATAGGGATGTGGAATCAGAATATACAAAGTCTTAAGTGCTTGACATGTGCGCCGTGGAGACACCTTGTTCCTATCGGGAGCAATATATCGCATATGTGCCATGCAGTCGAAGATCACTCAAGGATTATACAATAACCATGACAGGCTAATCACTTTTCCTGAGAACTTACTCTGGAGTCAATTTAAACGGGCCGGGAGATCGATGCATCATCCAAAACGTCCAGCGGGTCTGCTGAATAAGCAGATGGCGTATGTATTGTGCATACATACTTGTATGTACTGTATCACCTTGTTCCATGAATGTACCTGTGGCTGCATCCTCTTAGGACTGGGATTGCTGCGTAGAATGCTGTTGGTGGGGCAAAAAAAATGGTGTTTTTGATATGGATGCATTGTTTTAGACCAAACCATGCCGCTAGTTCCTAAATATCTAATCGAGCAGGAAGAGTCCATGTTGATAACAGTGGTAATAATGCTACTTACTAGGTTGAACCGTGGCCCCTCTTGGGCAGCAGAAATCCGATCAATACAGTGCTAAGTTCTGCGGTTGAAAGAATCCCCTGCCGAAAGTGGAATGGCAAAATTACCGGGCACTGGCAACGCACGGCCACAAGACCGTCTCAATACCCACCAATCAGGTAATGCTTGTCAACAGTTCCCATTCAACGAACATTATCGCTTCAGGAGTGATTCGAATTTTCCCTTGTACCTGTTCATAATCTATATTAAACAGGACTGAGAGGGACACTTTGTTACCAGACAACGAAAGACAAAGCGCCGTTGAATCCGCCACCCAGGGAAAAAAAACTTGAATAACAGATCTTGTTATTTTGGTTCCGTATACGGTCCGCTGCCATCATCTCCCATCATCCTCGTTCGCCTTGCTACCCTAAAGAATTTTTTTTTTTTTACTCAATAAAAAAAGCTTTACCATTTAGTCAAGTATTATTTGCACGTAACGGATAATCTGTCACTTTAATCGATAGGGAGGGGAAAATCATCTTATCTCTCAACTTTTCAATACTTTTTTATTGAAAAGAAAAAAAAAAACCTCTGGGGAAGAAGGGGTTGGAGCCGCTTCGCACCAAAATCCACGGCGGGGTTTCCTGTGCGACTACTGTACACACTTTCCACACCTTCTTTGCAACTCCCTCTCGGCGCTTTTCCTTTTCGCACCCGCAATTGCTCCTCGTCCTCCCCCTCTTGTGTGCACAATGGAGTGGCAACCTCAGGATGAGCCATTGAGGCAGCTAGCTTGCTGTCTCAGGGACTCTTTAAATGCTTATGATCGCAACGCCCAAAAACAGGCCGAACAGGTGTGTTTCCTACCTCTCAATTTTTATCGGCGCCCCCGTTCATATTCCGCCTTTGGATCTCTATACCACCACTTGCCTGCTGCAAAATCCCCGGCACTCTCACTTAAATAAAATGATTCACTGGCTTCTTCTAACTATTTTTTTTTCTTTACCGTGTTAGATGCTAGAACAAGCGACTTCCTCCCCCGATTATGTTAACTACATCACTTATTTGTTCAGCACACCGCAGTCCCCCCAGCCGGTGGGGTTTGACGAGAACACTTATGATATGGTCCGCTTTGCTGCTGCGATGAACCTGAAGACAAAGATTCGCGTAGCATACAATACGATTCCTCAGCCTTGTCTGTCATATATCCGATCGGTCACCCTGAGTGGACTCCGAGACAGAAACTTCCAGATACGGAGCTCGGCCGGTAGCATCATCACAGAATTGGTTCAACGGGCGGGCTTGTTAGCGTGGCCCGAAGTGCTGAATGAGCTCTTGTCCCTCGTGAGTAATGCATCAGGGGATGCTCCAGTCGTGGCACAAGAGGCCGCTATGTCGGCCCTCGCGAAGGTGTGCGAGGACAACCGCAAGATCCTCGAACGAGACTACCAGGGGCAGTGCCCTCTTAACGTTATTATTCCCAAGCTGCTAGAGTTCACTTCTAGTCAGAGCGCCAAGGTCCGGTCCATGGCGCTGGGCACCATCCATATCTTCCTTCCTCACAGACCCCAGGCATTGGTCGCTTCGATGGACCTGTTCTTGTCGCAGTTGTTCCAACTGGCCAACGATAATAGCACGGATGTGCGGCGAACAGTTTGCCAGACATTCGCACAGTTGGTGGACTTTGCTCCCGACAAACTCATCCCGCACATGGAAGGGTTAGTCAATTACATCATTATGCAGCAGCACAATCAAGAAGATCCCGAGCTGGCTCTCGATGCTGCAGAGTTTTGGCTTGTTGCAGGCGAACAGGCGAAGTTGCAACAACCGTTGGCTCCTCATATGTCTAAGATTGTCCCCGTGTTGCTTCAGAGCATGGTCTACGATGAGGACGACGCCATCCGCTTGGCAAGTGAGGGGGATGATGCCGAGCAGGAGGACCGTGTGGAAGATCTCAAGCCGCAATTTGCCAAGTCGAAAAGCTCTCGGTTAGACTCTTCAAAGCCTGAGGAACAGGCTAACGGCAACTCTGCTGCTGAGGAACAAGACGAAGACGAGTTGAGCGAAGGTGAGATCGAGGACTCAGAATTTGGAGATGACCCCGAGGACGAGTGGACTCTGCGGAAATGCTCGGCCGCTGCATTAGATGTCTTCTCGAACGTCTATCACCAGCCAATCTTTGAGATCATCCTGCCGTACTTGAAGGAGACCCTGCGCCACGACCAATGGCCACAGCGGGAAGCTGCTGTCCTGACCTTGGGCGCTGTTGCAGATGGATGTATGGATGCGGTTACCCCCCATCTGCCGGAGCTTATTCCCTATCTTATCTCGCTTCTGAATGACTCGCAGCCTGTGGTGCGCCAGATCACTTGTTGGTGCTTGGGGCGATACTCGGAATGGGCCTCGCACCTCAACGACCCGGCGGAGAGGGCTAACTTTTTCGAACCTATGATGGAAGGTATTCTTCGTAGGATGCTAGACGGCAACAAGAAGGTCCAGGAGGCAGCTGCGTCCGCTTTTGCAAGCTTGGAAGAGAAGTCGGATGCCAACTTGATCCCCTACTGTGAACCCATCCTTCGGCAGTTCGTCCAGTGCTTCGGGAAATACAAGGACCGCAATATGTATATCCTGTACGACTGTGTCCAAACTCTGGCTGAGTGTGTCATGGGAGAATTATCGAAGCCACACCTTGTTGACATCCTCATGCCTGCTCTTATCGACCGCTATAACAAGGTGTCGGATCAGTCTCGGGAGCTCTTTCCGTTATTGGAATGCCTCGGCTACATCGCTGCTGCGTACGGCGATGCGTTTGCTCCCTTTGCCCCTCCTCTCTTCCAAAGATGCATCAAGATCATCTACGAGAACCTACAGGAATATATGGCTTCCATCAATAACCAAGCTATCGAGGAGCCCGACAAGGATTTCTTGGTTACCAGCTTGGATCTTCTGAGTGCGATCATCCAGGCGATTGATCCCCAGAAGAGTGGCGAGTTAGTAGCCAATTCCCAGCCACGCTTCTTTGATCTTCTCAGCTTTTGTATGGAGGACCCGAACTATGAAGTGCGTCAGTCGTCCTACGCATTGCTTGGCGATTGTGCCATCAACATCTTCACGCAACTGGAGCCTTTCATCCCCAGCATTATGCCGACCCTTATCAAGCAGCTTGATCTGGACTTGATCAAAGATGATGACCGTCACACGGGCTTCAGTGTGCTGAACAACGCCTGCTGGTCCTGTGGAGAAATCGCAGTCAACGAAAAGGCGGCTCTGTCACCCTACGCCGACAAACTGTACCAGGGCTTATATGTCATCATCAACAACGAGGAGATCATTGACTCCGTAAACGAGAACGCTGCAATGGCCTTGGGAAGATTGGGTATGTGCTGTTCCGATCAGCTTGCCCCCCACCTTGGCGAGTACGCAGGCGCGTTCTTGAAATCTATGAATAAGATCG